GTGAATGAATAAATGAATGAAAGACAGTGTGAAAGTCTTGGCCTTAGGGGAGGAAAGGAAACCAACGTTTACTGAGCAGTCTTTCAAACACCAAACCTTTTAGGACTTTTGATACAGGGAGGTGAGTCTCTTGATTCCCTTCCTAAAAATGGAGATGCCGAGGCCCGAAGACGCTAAGCACTTTGCTGAAATTTACTCAGGTAGTAAAGGAGAGGGTCCCTTTGATGGCACAAATAGTTAAGCACTCAACTTACTAACCAAAAGGTTGGTGGTTCGAACCTACCCAGAGGTGCCTTGGAAGAAAGTCCTGGCGATCTGCTTCAGAAACATCAGAGCCTTGAAAACCCCGTGGAGTGTATTCTACTCTGTGACATGTGGGGTCGCCCTGAGTGGCAATTTACTCAGCAACTGGTAGTAAAGCATAGAGCTCATAACCTTTTTCCATCTACCAACTAAGAAAAGAGGTCAGGGACCAGGGACAATGACTTCAAAAACTTTGTTTTGAGCCTTTGTAAATATTCAGCATTTGTTATCTTGCTCTTTTTTTTTTCTCTACTGATTAATAGTTAATCTCTTAAAGTAAGAGAGGGCCTACGTGTTTTGGGAGGTGGAAGGAAGACTGTTAGGGCAGCCAGTCTTGGGGTACAGGTGCTCTCGCGCAAAGGGAGCAGGCAGCATAAAGCGGGTAGGCTGAGTCAGTCCTAGGGCCTGCCCGCCTCTTAGACCAGGTGCTGCCTGAGAGGCCTGAGGGGCCCTGGCACCAGCAGGGCTTCCCTCGGCAGGCCTTGCCTGGATGGATTGTCGAGTCTCTCAAACCCTGAGGAAGAGGCTTCTCGTCTTACTTTCTTGTGCTGTTACAACAAAAATACCACAAGTGGGTGGCTTTAAGGAACAGAAATGTGTTTTCTCACAGATTAGGAAGCTAGAAGTCTGAATTCAGGGCACCAGCTCTATTTCTGTCCCCTCTGGAGGAAAAGACTTGTCTCAGCTTCTCTTGCCCCGGGCGTCCTTGGCTCCCCGGCTTCTATCTTCCTGCATCTGCGCTTTCCTTGCTTCTGTGCCTAATCTGCTCTTCTATCTCAAAAGTGATTAGGTTTAAGTCACACACCCTACACAGGTATGGCCTCATTAACACAACAAAGAAAACCCTATTCCCAAATGGGATTACATCCACACGTATAGGGGTTAGGATTCCAGTGCATATTTCATGGATGACACAGTTCAATCTACAACACTTCCCTCTCTGCCTGACCTGCCCAAGTCTTTTCAGCTTGAGCCCCTGTGCTCACCTCCACCCACCCTCCTTCCTCCCCTCGCCACCTGCCCAGAGGGTCCACATGTGGTCTTGCTTAGTCCCAGGTGACTTCCTCCTCAGCCTCATTTCTTCCCCCCTCATCCTCTACTGAATGTTCTTCGTCTACAGGGAAAGAACAAGAAGACTGTGGCCCAAGTAGGACAGGGAGACATACTGGAGCTAAAGAAATGGGGAAGCGTCCTCTAAAAAACCCGGCCACTGCCTGGTCCTGCATCATCTGCACAATCATTATGTTCGAGTACATTGTGGCAGCCTCTGTGTCAATCCATCTCGTTGAGGGTCTTCCTCTTCTTCGCTGACCCTCTACTTTACCAAGCATGATGTCCTTCTCCAAGGACGGAGCCCTCCTGATAACATGTCATGGATGGGTGTAATTAAATGAGCTTTAGCAGAGACTGATTTTTCATACTAGATCCTGTGGTCATACAGGGCTCCAGCCCTCCCACAGGTTATCATTTTTAAGCCAAGCATCTCTAAAGCTATTTCTTCCTTTTCCTTGCTGGATTCTATCACTGAGCTCATGCATATGGACAGAGCTTCTGAGTACAGACTCAGGACAGAAAAAGGCAAAATAAAAATCACCAACTGGTCAATAATGGAGCCTGGTGGCTCCGTGGTTAACAGCTCAACTGCTAACCAAAAGGTCGGCAGTTTGAATCTACCAGCCACTCCTTGGAAACCTTATGGGGCAGTTCTACTCTGTTCTATAGGGTCGCTATGAGTGGAGATTGACTCAACAGCAACGTTTGATTCTTTTGGTTAGTGATAGAATCAGAAACTCTCTAAGTACAGCAGGGGAGGGTGCTGGTCCTAAAGCCAGCTGGAAGGAGATGAGATGGGGTGAGCAGAGCGCTGGACTTCCTCGGTGGCAGTGCAGAACTCTGGGGTGACTCTTCCTGGTTGGTGGAGACCTCTGTATGGAGACAAGGAGGAAGCTGCTAGTCAAAGATTCTGCCTTCTGGTTTGGTTTTGTCTTGGCCAGTGCCCATCCCCAGGCTCCTGCTCCCTGAAAAACTGGCCACCGAAACAAAAACCCAAACTCACAGCCACCCTACAGGACAGAGAAGAACTGCGCCCCCGGGTTTCCAAGGAGCAGCTGGTGGATTTGAACTGCCAACCTTTTGGTTAGCAGCCGAGCTCTTAACACTACACTCCAGGGCTCCTGGACACCTACTGTGGAATCGTGAGGCACCTGCGGGGACTTCTTCAGGTGGCCCCTCTGCCACCATGTCTCCTCTCCACAACACTATAGAATTGTGTTTCTCTGTTTAGACTCTTCTTGGCTGGTATCGATTGTTACCTTTATTAGCTAACAGTATACCAAGATAAAAATAAACACCGGTGTTTGTGCAGGGAGAGAGTAACCGTATCTGCGTCTTCAGGGCTAGGAAAAAACTTGCTTCAAGACCCAGTGGTCAGACGAGTACCTGATCCTCTCCTTAGCACACCTCTTCAATGATTATAAGGATGTCTATCTGTCTCCTTTGCCCTAGCAGGCCGGGCGGCTGTGGTCTTCCCCACACGCCCTGATTGCTTGGCGCTCATTTAACAGTTGTGGACTAACACCAGGGCAGGGCTACCCAGGAAGCAGTCATTTCAGGGCTGGGCCTGGTGCCACGCCTCTTAGCTCATTTCCACAGGCAGCTGCCCCAGCTGGCCAGTCCCCACCACGATTTGAGGTTAGGGACCCTGCTCCCGGACAGGCAGACGACAACAGCAACTACTGCATAGCCAGGAAACATGCCCAGAGATTTGTCGTGTTCCATATCCAGCTCAACTGTTCCCACAACATAGTGACCAAACCCAAAACCTGTTGCCCTCGAGTAGATTCAGACTCATAGCAAGTCTACAGAACAAAGCAGAATTGCCCCTTAGAGTTTCCAAGGGGCAGCTGGCAGATTCAAACTCCTGACCTTCTGGTTAGCAGCCGAGCTCTTAACCACTACGCCACGAGGGGCTCCATGACCTAGTGAAGTGGTGGTGTATGACCATTCTCACCGTCACAGAGAAACTGAGGCTGCGAGAGGCGACAGCTTGCCTAACCAAAGTCACACAAGCCTGCTCTTAAAAAGACAGGGAGGACTGGGATTTGTGCCTGTGCTCAGTCTCCTCATCTGTAAAATGGAGATAATAATACCTACCTCTTACAAATAAATTATTATGTAGGTGTTGAGACAAGTACCTACCTCTTATAAATAAATTATTATATATGTGTTGAAATCCGCGCTTCGTGCAAATGGTTAACACACTCAGCTGCTAACTGAAAGGCTGGAAGTTCAAGTCCACCCAGAGGTGCCTCAGAAGAAAGGCCTGGTAATCTATTTTCAAAATATTAGCCATTGAAAACCCTATGGAGCACAGTTCTACTCTGGCACACATGGAGTCGCTATGCATGGGAACTGACTTGATGGTAACATAGTAGGTGAGTCTGGCACACAGTAGGTGCTCAGTAAATATTTGTGTCCTTAGTGGATACATGAATGGCAGGGGATAACCTCGGTAGACCCTGGCACTTCTAGCGGAGGGTACATTCTGTAACTTCCTTTCTTGCTGTTAACTGCTGTCCAGTTGGCCCCAATCGTGGAGACCTCATGCACAAATGGATTGGAACTTTGTGATCCACAGGGTTTTCATTTGCTGATTTTCAGAAGTAGATTACCAAGTCTTTCTTCCTAGTCGGTAGTCTGAAAGCTCTGCTGAAACCTCTTCAGCATCATAGCAACACACAAGCCTCCACTGGCCGACAAGGGTGGCTGTACATGAGGTGCACTGGCTGGGAATCGAATTCGGGTTTGTCACATGGAAAACAAGAATTATACCCGAGCCACCCCTGCCCTCCATAACCTCCTTAGTTCCCCAGATTTTCCCTCCACACCTGGCAACCCCGGGCAAAGCCTCAGGGCTGGGGGTGGGGGAGCCTACTTCCAGTCTTGGGGCAAAGTCAGCC